GTCGGGCGTTTGTGTCAGTAACCCTGAGCAATTGAGCTTAAAGTGAACCGACTACCGGAGCCAGTCACGAACGCGACAGGATGATAGACCACAGGCCAAGGGGGAATGACTCGTTGATTCGACGAGTGTCTTGACGTATGAGACATGGTGAGATTTCCGAACGAACCGTAGGGCATGGACGGGCCGAGTCTGGGAGCACACCAATAATCCATTGTGCCTTGGCGAGCGTTGGATTCTGAGAGGGTCAGCAGAGGAATTGACTCGTGACGCGATGATGTGTACCAGGGTCCTGGGCGTGGACTGGGTAACGGCACGGCAGTAGAGAACCAGGGAAAGGCTTGGGAAGGGACAGCAACACAACAGGGATGACAGCTGCCAACGGGTGGAAGGGGGGGCAGAGGAGAGTTGTTCGTTGTAAGCTCAAGCTTTTTTGAATGATCAGACATTAATACATCAAATAGACATGAGATTGAAGTGCCAACTGATGCAAGGTGAAATCGCGGGTGGTGAGTGAGAGAGTATCTAGATTAGAGGATGTAGATAGAGATCAGAACTATACTAGCTTACTAGTCAGAAAAGAGGAGACAGTCGATCGATCCGCACCAAGTGGGACTAGCGCCCAGACCCTGACTGTATTAGGACTAGCGCAGTGCAACGTGACGGACCCATCTCGACGTAATATTACTGCTTCTATTACTCTCCATTACTCACTTACTCACTACCATGCCTTCTAATCCCCCAGCTCGACTCTTCAACTCCTGTTCCTTCTCCACTCCAGACCCTACCACGGAGCACTCGGATCACACAGGAAGGATCGAGAAACAGAAAAAAAAAATATGCCGAAGGAAAGCCAGCTCAAACCCGGCGGACGAACGATGGACGTACCAGACGAGTGACGGGATCTGAACAAAGCAGTCCTGAGCAGGTGTCATCTTCCCCAGCCCTCCGTCCTCCTTCAATGCCGTCACCACCTTCACAAGGTTCAAGGGATGTTGCTCCGTATCCCTTGGCTGCTTCCTTCCACACACCTCCAAGTCTACGGCGATTGAGGGATTTTCTCCCCGAGTCCGACGGTCCTTATAAAAAGAACTTTCGTTTTTACTTTCCTCCAGATGTCACGAGCTACGACACCCCTCGCACTTTTGACCGGATCTGAATTTGAACCCAGCCCTACCTAGGTAAGGGGCCTCTGCGTAAGTGGCTGCACATTGCCGTAGGGTTAGCGGTCGCATAACTAGTATGGCGTAGGGCATGGGAAGTTTACTTGACACACAGCGTAGATGCCAAATATTCCATCTAGAATCGCGTGTAGTCACCTGGCATACTGTGCTTACTATGTGTCCCATATCGAGATCAGTAGGTGTGAATATCCCGAGTGGATGCTACGCTTATTATCTAATCACACATTTTTTGGAGATTTACATCTAATATGTGACGGAAGTCTTTTCCTGAAAGGTCTCCGAGGTGGAAACCAGAAATCTTGCATTTCGTCTACATCACATAGTCTGCGTATCTTCATAACATGTAGACTCATATCTACTCAGTGCGCATCTATTTGCCAGTCTTACCGGTGGGGATGTTGAACAGCACAGCCGGCTTGCCAGGAGCGTAGGGGCGGTCGCAGCGGAAGTAGCCCTTGCGCTCGAACTGGATGATATCGCCCTCGCGCAGCTCGGCAACGTTACAGTCAGCCACGGCGTCCTCACGGAACTCGGTGTTCTTGTTCAGCACGTCCTCCAGAGCATCGTCCTCCTGGAGGGAGTCCTTGTTGAGGAGGTAGTCGAAGTCGACCAGCTCCACGGGGACCAGTTCCTGGTCAGCAGACAGCCAGGTGACCTTCTTCTCGGTCTTCTTGAAGTCGCCCTCCAGGTGCAGGTCAAGCTCCAGGGACTGCACAACACCCGCGGCGTCCTTCTCGATCTTGCGGACAATGGCATTACCCCAGGCCATGAGGGTGATCTCCTCGTCCTGCTTGAAGGTCTTGGCATCCTCCTGGTCGAAGAGAACCGAACCGCTGAAGGTGACCTTCTTCTGGCCAACCTCGGGGTTCTTGTTGTGCTTAGGCTTGTCCTCGGTGTAAGCAGCAGGGGCGCCCTTGATGACGGCCTTAACAAGGTCCTTCTTCATGAGGGCAGTGTGGCGCGGCGCAACGGGGTCAATGTACTTCTTGTTGGTCGCCCAGATGAGGGTCCAGTCCAAATTGGTAATATTCTTGCTGGGTCCCTGCTTGAGGATGAACTCGCGGAGAGCCGGCACAGTCATACCCCTTCTGCGAATACCTCTGATGGTCGGGAAGCGAGGGTCATCCCAGCCCCAGACAACGCCCTGGTCGACCAGCTTAGTGAGCTTACGCTTCGAGAGCAGAGTACGAATGAAGTTCATGCGCGCAAAGTCCCAGATCTGCACGTGGCGGAGTCCGAGAGTGTCCAAGAACCACTGGTACTGAGGGTTCCGGTCACGGTACTCAATGGTTCTGAGAGCGTGGGTAACGCCCTCAATCGAGTCCAAGATGGGGCAGCACAGGTCGTAGGTGGGGTAGATCTTCCACTTGGTGCCAGTGCGGTGGTGAGGAGAGGGGTTGCAGCGGTAGATGACGGGGTCACGCATGGCCTTGTTGGGGTTGTCCACAGACATCTTGGCGCGGATGCACCATCTGAGACCCTCAGGAGTACCCTGCTTCATCTCCTCGAAACGAGCCAGGTTCTCCTCGACGGAAGCATCACGGCGCTTGCTGGGCTCACCGTTCATTCTCTGGGAGGCCATGGTCTCCTTGTCGGTGTCATCAGCGTAGGCGTTGCCCTCGCGGATGATCTTCAGACCGTACTCGTAGATCTGGTCGAAGTAGTCACTGGAGTAGCTCATCCTGTCGGGCTTGATGCCCATCAGGGCCAAATCCTCCATAATAGCATCCTGGAACTCCTGCTTCTCGTTCGAGGGGTTGGTGTCGTCGAAGCGCACCAACAGGGTGCCGTTGTATTTCTCGTGCGCAAAGTAGTCGTTGAGCAGAGCAGCCTTGGCGTGTCCAATGTGCAGGTATCCAGAGGGCTCAGGAGGGAAACGGGTAACAACACCCTTGTCAGTGTTCTGAAGAGCAATGTCGTAGCTGGCACCCTCCTTGGCCTTGGCCGCCTTCTTCTCCTTGGCGGAAGCATTGAGGCTCTCCAAAGCAGCGCTAGCCCAAGGGCAGAGCTCATCCAGGAAGTTGAACCAACGAGTCAGGTTGACAAGGGCCCCCTTGCGGATAGCGGAGATGGCAACGCGGTTGCCACGAAGGGCACCCCACAGTGCAATATCGGGGGTGGACAGCGAGTAACCGACGATGAAAGAACGAAGGAGAAGGTGGGTGTTCAGGCGCTGAAGCAGAGGGTCGAGAGCCTTGAAGTCAAGGGTGGTGAAGGTCTCGAGCTGAGAAAGCCATTCGTTCTCCTGGAAAAGCCCCCATCAGCATAGAGTCGCAATGAAGGCGAAGCGGGGATCACTTACAGACTTCTCATCCTTTCCGTTAAGGAATGGGAAGCTGGCACGCAGCTCCTTGATGGCATTGTCAGTTCCATAGACGGGAGCACCGCTGGCACCCGTGAACTGAACGATAGCCTTCTCTCCCTCGGCGAGAACAGCCGCATCCTCGAAGTTGATGGCGATGACGGGAGTAGGGCGAGCCTCGTTGATGGAGGTAGCAACCAGGAGGACTGGAAGCAAAGAGGCCTGGTTGGCCTTAGTGGCCAGGCTAAGCTTGAACTGCGACATCGTTCCAAAGACCCAAAACCCCAGGAAATTGGATCAATTGCCCCCAGGAAAAGATGGTATAGAAAGGTGGGATGGAGATAATTTACTGCCGGGAGGGGCAGTTTTGACTCAATGGGCTCCGCCGGCGGTTAGTTTCTCCGCGGGCGATGGTCGGCCGGAGCCTCTAGATTTCGGACCAGAAAACATTCCCGGCGCTGTCAAGCTCATTCGGAGTTCATCGCCATGGCTTTCTCCTACAGCTCCCTCATGCCCTCCGCGGCACGGGGAATCTTGTCGTCATGTCGTCCTGCTCTTCGCCCGAGCCCAATTGCGCCTATTTTGCCCAGCTTGCAGCAGGTGCGCACCGCTGCCCAGGCGCGCAAGGTGAAGGGAGGAGACAAGACCTCCAAGAGAAAGAAGGGTCCGAGAGAGTTCAAGCAGAAGGATCTCAAGGATATGCAACAATTTGCGCTATGCGATGCCATGAGGTTTGTATTATTGTCGTCGTGGTTCAATCGACCTTTTCACTGATTGCGTTGATCTTCACCGCAGATATCTCCGTGCATTCGAAGTTGGCCGCGAGCCAACCAATTCCAAATACGAGGTCCACGTCCGCCTGAAGACGAGGAGGGACGGTCCTGTCATTCGCAACATGCTCCGATTCCCCCATTCCGTCCAGACCGAGTCCCGAATTTGCGTCGTGTGCCCTCCCGGAACCCGCCATGAGAAGGAAGCTCGTGCGGCTGGAGCAGTCCTGGTGGGTGAGCAGGAGGTCTTTGATGCCGTGAAGGCCGGCAAGATCGAGTTCGACCGCTGCCTCTGCCACCCGGATAGTTTGGATGCACTGAACAAGGCTGGCCTGGGTCGGATCCTCGGCCCCAGGGGCCTGATGCCCAGCGTCAAGACGGGTACTGTGGTCGAAGATATTGCCGTGCGTGTGGAGATGCTGCGTGGTGGTACCATTTATCGCGAGCGTGACGCTGTCATTCGTGTCCCCGTTGGACAGCTCGGTTTCACCCCCGAGCAATTGCGTGACAACCTGCGCGCAACGATCGACCAGATCAAGAAGGATGCGGCCGGTCTTAACGACCGCATAACCAAGGAGGTGTACGAGGTGGTAAGTCGCCGAATTGCGTTGCGCTTGCAACCGGCATCGTTGTCTAACGTTCCTTAGGTCCTGAGCTCGACCAACGGTCCCGGCTTCAGTCTGAACGGAGAATTCAGGTCGGAGACCTCTCCCGAATCTGCCGCTTTGCAGGGCGTGTAAAATAGTCTCTAGCGTCTTCAAGTTCATGGGTGTACAGAATATGTTTCATTAGGAAGGTTACGGTGTATAATGGTATTTTTTCAAATCTCACTCGGAACCAGCAAAAGTAAATCTCCCAACGCCGGCGCTATGCAAAATGGCACTGCCTAGCTCTAGAAGTCCTCTAGGACTTCAGATTCTTGAGTGCCGATACGGCAGTAGTGTCCTCTCCCATGAGCTTGTAGAGACGCAATACGGCCAGCGTTTTCGTATCCCGCTTGTCGCCCGCCTGCTTCGCCTGCTCCAAAGCCGTCTTCAGATCCAAGAGCACCGCAGATCGTATTTTCGACATCCTTGGTTGTTGACTCTGTAGGAATGGATGGTTGTCACCTATCCGAGACGACAGCTTTATCAAGTAGACATATTTCTGGATATGACGCTCGAGGGTCTTGAGGGAAACGAGCGACGCAGTAGTTGCGCCGTTGGGCAGTTCATCCTCGTCACTATCGTCGCTGTCGCTCTCAATAAAATCAGAATCCGAATCGGACTCGCCCGGAGTACCGTCCTGAGGAGCCCGGGGAGTGTCTCCGATCATCAATCTCCTTTCCAGCTCCTCGACTCGATCCGCATAGTCCAGCAAGGCCTGTCCAACATTGGCTTGAGTCTTCAGACGCTTCTTCTCCTTCAGTAGCTCTACCATCTCCTCTTGTCTGGCTTCCACCTTATCCCGTATGGACTGAACATCACGCTGGAATGCCAACAAGCCGACCCGTACCTGCTCGACTTTCTCCTCCCCACCGTTTAGTGCGCTCCCTAGGGATAGAAAGTCCTGGTAGTTTTCATTGACCAAGTCTAGGAGTTCTCGACTGAGTAATTGATCCAGATCCCGTAATTCCTGTCGCAAGTCCTCGAGGCTCTGGTGTCGATTGGTGAGGGAGGATAGATACGCCGCGGGGTCGAAGTCGGGGGAGAGGAAGGAAGCACGAGACAAAGGCTCGGGGAAGGGCAGTCCGGAGGTATCATCGTCGAATTCGGACGCAGACTCATCGGAGTCGCCAAACTAAGCGCATAACTATCAGTTTCACTGAAGTATGGCGGGAGAACGAATGGGTGGGTGAAGAAGGAAGAAGGGTTCGGCCGGACAGGGAATAGCATACGCGAAACCTATTCATCTTGAAGGGGGGACTTTCAAAGTATCAACCGCACCATATGCAGCTTCCGACGAACCCTAAGAGACAAGCGTCGAGGTGGTCACCACTGCGCGAAGGACACTACCAACGGGTTGGAGATGGATGAAAGACGACAACGATGATGATGATGATGATTGTTGGAGCTTAGTGTTTCCCCTTTCGGGTATCGAGTCCCCAGTTTCCGCCCGCTTCAACTTGAGACCAGCCACTTTTCTGAATAGTTTCTGGATTTCTTCGCTGCATCATCGCCTCTTGAATCCCGGCCCGATCCACAGTCATCTGCCTCCCCGATCATGCCAGCTCGTTGGCCTGCTGAGTCCATGCATCTGTGTCCCGTGGAGCGACGCGTTGGAGCGTGATACGTGTCCTGCGTTGTCTGCCCGTCCACCGCCGCCGCCAGCCGCTACTGAGAACTCGTTGTCTGACAGGCGCTTGATCGCCTTCCCTGCTGCCAGCCGATCTGCCGCTGCTGTTGCGTATTGGCCGGAAGGCGGGGTTTTTACTCCGGTGGTGGTGGTGTTGTTTCGTTGCGGGTGGTCATATCCCCGTCTACGCTCCGCTGCTGCGTCACGGCCTGCATCGCATTGCCCTGAACGGAGATGGATTATAGGTCCGGCAGGCTGCTCGCCCACACGGACGCTTTTCCATCGTCCTCGTCCGCTTTTCCATCGTCCTCGTCCGCTTTGCCACGCCGGAGATGGTCGCAGCTGAACCCTCTGCATGCCTCGCCGGTGGTCGAGACCGTCCGTCCTCTGCAACAAACTGCTCCCTATCGCTATGAACCCGCGCTAGATGAGTCCTCTCGAGCGCATCGTACCACTACGCTACGTCAGCTAAATGGGAATCCCGGGACCTCATCCTGGAGAAACCATAATCGGTCAGCTACTTCGCGGCCCTCAACGTCGGCATCGCAGCCCGTGCTGGTTAGGGCATATTCGGGCGGCCCTCATGACACCTCCAGTACTTCGACCACGATGCCTTCGCAGCGCTCATTCCCATTCATCGGTGGCTCAAGAAGCCAGCGACGCGGGCCTGCTCTCCCATCGGAGGACGACTTTAGCATAGACGGCATACTGCGAGCTATCGAGCCGAATATTCGCCAGACGTTAGACTCGATCGGAGAGATCTGCGGACGCAGCAGACTCAGTCTGGCGAACGAGTATGGAAGTCATATTGCTCCGCTAGGCGAGATCCGGGCTCCCCCGGGTGGCCTGGTGACAGTCGAAGAAGCCAGCTCCGACCATGAAAGACAAAGCGACAACGTGGTCATCTATGACGACGAGAATAGTGTCGCCGATAGACGTGATCATTCGTCCTTATCGCAGTATCGACACTGGGACGGCAGACGACCATCTACGGGGTTTCCTTTCAGAACTCCGTTCTCAGGGGCCGGCTCGTCCAGCCAGGCCCCGCCCAGTACCCCAAGATCTCCCCTGGCATTGCATGCGCCGGCCGAAGAGCCCGCGCTGGGAGCACTTCCCACGAGGCAATTTGCCTCCAAGCCCAATTCAGGCGGCCGTACACTGTTAGGCACGCAGACACAGTCGGGCTCGAATATTCTTACTCCGGCTCTTGTATCCGAGGTCTTGCTTGATGCCCAGGCTGAAGCCAACGCAACCTCTTCCTCGGAGGTTCCACGAGGCCAGGAGCTTCTCGGTCCTAGCGCTATGGATTCCAGCGCTGGATATCGGGGTTGGATTCCGCCGTCCCTGGTAGCCGATGTGCAGGCGCTTCTAAGCTGGCTACAGTATGGTGCCGTAGCTGCTGGTTCCGAGGCAAGACAGGCAACAGCTGAGATGCGACTACGAGCGATGTTGGAACGAGATCAAACTATTTCAAATGCGTGATGGTAATGATGTTGCTCGCGGGAATGTATGAAATGACGAGGAACGGTGGCGATGATGATTATGATGTGATATACGATGTTATCTATATACGGCAGAATTACTAGGCAGCGATGCTACCCACGACATATAATGACTGATGACTATGGCACCCACATTGATGAGCAACAGAACAGTACTTTTCTTTCATAGTAAATCATGATCTCGTATCACTCTACACCCATGCCAAAAGACGCCACCCATGACACATGCTCTAACAGTAACCCCTATATATACTACTAACTCCATCATCATCACCCCTCAATCTCCGCAATCAACGTCTTCGAAAACTCCTCGAACCGCGCATACGACCAACACTCCCGGTACCTCTCCACCAACGGCCTCTCATCCTTCTCTTCCTCCTCCTCCTTCTTCTCCCCATCTGCCTTACCAGCACTTCCATCCCCACCCTCATCCTCATCCTCATCCTCACTACCCTCCTCCTCCCCACCAACCTTCCCCTCCACCAACTCCCCAAACCCAACATCAACCGGCACCTTCCCCAAAAACCTCACCCCCATCTCCTCCGCCAAAACCTGCCCCCCACCACTCGAAAACAAATTCGTCACCTCCCCACAACACGGACACGTATACCCGGACATATTCTCCACCACGCCCAGCATCGGAATCCTCGTCTTCACACAGAAATTCACCTCTTTCCGTACATCAGACGTCGCCACCGCCTGCGGCGTAGTAACCAGCACCGCACCAGCAAGCCGAGGCAATGAGGAAGAAGAAGAAGAAGAAGCATCAATCGTACAAAGCGTCAAAAGCTGCTCCGCAAGAGCAATATGCTCATCACTTGTTCCAGGAGGCGTATCAATAAGCAAGTAATCGGTTTCATTCCATAACACGTCCGAGAGGAATTGTCGGATCATGGCGGTCTTTTTGGGCCCCCGCCAGATTACGGCGTCTGAGCGGGATCGGAGCAGGAAGCCGAGGGACATGCAGCGGAGGGAGCCATGCTTGATGGGGCTTTCTGTTGTCGTTGGGGTGGTGGAGGAGTCTGGTTGTGAGGAGGAGGTCATAGTGGATGGGTGAACGGGGACAGGAAGCCAACCGCCCGGCGCTTGGGTGATTTTTGCGTCTTCGAGACCGACTAGACGAGGGATTGAGGGGCCGGTGAGATCGATGTCTAGGATACCGACGGATTTGCCTTGGAGGGTGAGCGCGAGAGCGAGTTGTAGCGTTACGCTGGATTTGCCGACGCCGCCTTTGCCGGAGAGGACCTGGGGATTAGATTGTTAGTTTGTTTGAGAGATAGCATTGGAGTAGAGATAGATATATAGAGAGAGAGAGGGGTAGGTAGGATGTGCGCGCATTGTATGCGTAGGTGTAACCATTCATTCATGCTGTGTGCAGTTGCGCGCTGTTATCGATAAGAGAGGAGGGGTTGTCGCAATGGGATTTGGAGCTGGAGGGAGCTGAAGTTCAGGTATATGGAGAGTGATACTTACCAGCACAACATTCTTGACTCCGTCGAGAGGCATCTTGAGTATCTTCCTCTAATTTGGACCTGGGTATCTGGTTGAGTTGGAGGAGTAGGTGAAAGTCTGGGGATGGCGATGGCGAGCCGATTTCGGGTGGGCTTTTTTCTGCGTCATTCCGCGGAGTTTTGCTTATCAATCCAGCCGGTCCGGAGATATCACTCCCTCACTCAGTCACTGCTATCTATGTCTACGAGATGCATGCATGCTGCAGAATATACTGCGTATAACGATGATGTGCTACTCTCTACATGCTGTACGAGTCTGCAGCATTGGACTTTTTGTACTAATGTCAACCCTAGACTGCTCATTACTAATCATCATTGTATCATTCCATGACATAACTCGGGAGTTGCTTCTCATCAACTCGTATCTATGCCTAAAATGCCTATCACTAAATCCTGACGTTGTGAGAAAATGCACCGAGCTTATGCACACCTCTATACCCAACAGGACTATACCTCCACACTTATTGCCACTTCTGTACCACCACGCCGCCCCGCTTAAACTCCGCCATATCACCCAGCACAACACTCTTGTCGGAGAGATCCTTGCTGGGGAACGTAGTCATCAATACCCAGGGACGCGACTGGCTGCTAGGGCTGGCAGCGGTTACAAACTGGTACACGTCACCAATGGTATGGCTGGTGTTGAACCGGGAAGTGAGCCGTGAGCCGTCTCCAAGGCGGATCTGAAGAGTCACCGTCGGCTGCGACTCATCTATGTCCGGCTTGGCTGGCTCGGTGGACTGACTGGGAGTAGGGGCAGCTGCTGGCGCAGGTGCCCTCACACCAGGCGTGGGGCTGCCGAGACGCTGTCCAGCCCCGGAGAAGGGCTTGTACTTAGGCTTGGGCTTCACGTATTTCTCGTCATGCTGTTTGATTTCCACGTCCACCTCCTGACCAGCCTGCACATTCATGATAGAGAGCGGGGCACGGCCCTGGCGGATACCCTCGAGAATCTCGCGGTTGGCGGGGTCGTCGGAGTTGAACAGCTCTCCATCATCAACAGAGAAGCCATCAGACCAGAAGTGTAGGGTTCTATGTACGCGCTGCGGTGTCTGCGAAACAGGTGCACTGGGGGATTCGATCACTCTGCTGGGAGCCTCATCACCACCAAGGGTACGTGCGGTGCCGGTGAAGAAAGACCTTCTGGTGGGTTCGTCCGATGGCGGAGGCTGAGCCCTATAAAAGTATCAGCTTTGAACAATCAAGCTTTCCAAAGGTCCTCACCTTTTGGCCTTTTCAATGATCTTCTTCTTAATATCATCGGGGTTCTGCACAGCCAAGCCCGACTTTTCACCGCCAGCAAAGAAGTCTTGGTTCACTGCATCGTCTTCCTCGGAAGATTCCCCTCCACCCGACGCAAAATCGTTCAGGGTCGCAAACTTCTTTTTCGGGGCCGACCTGCGGGACGAGGGCTGCGGGGTAGTGGAGGGGGAATGAGAGGAGCTGCCACCAAGCGAACGGCCGGCAGAGGGTTCCGATTCAGCGCCGAGTCGGCGACCACCACCAGCTGCGCCAGTATCCTGTGAGGCTTCATCTTGTTCGGCGAAGAATTCGGTGACTGCGGCTTCGAGGTCCCACTCATTGGCTGCCAGATAGCCTTGTGCCTAAGATGAAGAAAGTAGTTAGCAACCATAGCTAGAGATGGGATCATTAGCATGTACCTCGTGAGGATCCGTCCTAGTCATCGCGCAGAATTGAGAGACAATCTCATCGCGGTCCGCGTTGTGCTCCATGTTGGAAGTAAATCGACCGTGACGGCACTGCACACGTTGTGATGGTTGGTGTTAGATTTTGTGAAGCTTCGCAGTCCAGCACTGATTCGAAGATGGAAAAGCACAAAGACTATCGAAGAAAGGCGGAGAATGTCGGGGACTTGGAAGATGCAGTGGTTCGTATTATTATTGTAGCTCTTCACGAAGCTGAAGGGGACCCAATAACGGTACGTCACTGTTGCCTGATTGGTCATCCGGAAGAGGGGATCTTCCGCTGGTGCCTGAGGAATCCCCCGGCGAACCATCAATGAGAGGATATTCCGTGACGAAAAGTAGTGACTTCACTCCTTTCATTCCTTGGCTGCACTCTCACTTGCTTCTCATACTTGACTGCTCGTCTGACCTTACTCGATTCCATCACACGACCCTGCAGGCTGTCTCTTCTAGTTGTTGCTATAGCGAACGCGAGGGCAGGCTGCTTACATAACGGCTTCTGCAGGTCAGGTGTAGATCGTCAATCCAGCCAACCCCAAGGGACCGACCTCATCCAGCGCCGAATTCCCCTCCATTCAGTTGGTGCCCTTCGTATCCCCGCGTCTATCAACTTGCTGATTGTTTTTCGCAGTCACAGACGGGCTTTTCTAATTTCCAGCCCCGTCCTTGACAGTTTCCTTTCCCTGTTGATCGCCTTCTCCCCGCATCATGGCCGCCGACCTCTCCAGCTCGAGGGAGCTGTATGAATCTGGACTGACTGTCCACTCAGATTCTGAGAATTATTCGGCCAATCATGACATCTCCGGCTCTCAGTCATCCTCCTCGAGCTCCCCCTTGATCCTCTACAAGCCCCCAACCATCTGGAGTATCCTGCGGGGAGCTGCCATTAACCTCGTTCTCCCATTCGTGAATGGGTTGATGCTGGGATTTGGCGAGTTGTTTGCACATGAAGCCGCCTATCGACTCGGCTGGTCCGGGACAAAGGTACGATTACAATCTCTGTTTGATAGACAGGGGCGCAGGACTCGCCCCGGTCCTTCGTTCAAAGCCGGCTTTCGTTATGGTTCAATAACACTAACCAAATGTTCATATTAGGTCTTCCCTATGCATCGGCGTTCGAGACCTGTCGGGCCCGGAATCGAGGTGCGAGACATCCCGTCGCAACGGAGGGGGACTAGGGCGGCCGGACTGAAGGATGCTACGTCTCTAGAGTAGACCCGGATGGAGTACTAGCGGACCATATAGATATCTCATCACGCCCGATTGATATTGGCATGTACGGGTAAAGTGGCATCAAAACAGTTCATTTCTTGTCGCTTGCAGGGTGGCATGAATGCAGTGTACATAGAGCAAGCATCAGTAATCGGTCTGACTGGACGGCGTCTGGCGAACCACCTCGAATTTAACCTCTCACACATTGACGAGATTTGGGTTTCTTGAGAATAGCCACATGGATGTTAAATCGGCCTAATTCCATAGCGAAGACTAGACCGCTCGAGACTCCGTAGGAATGAATTGAGGAGTTCCGCCCGGCAGAAAAGGCAGGCTTGGCACCGAAAAAGCGTCCCGAAAAGCCTCCGCGATTTTCCCCAAACTCCGATTCGATTTCCCAATTCATCTCATCCACCTTCATACCAATTCTCGCCATGTTGGGAGGGACTGGTCTCAGTGGACGCGGCGTTTTGCCCGCCGTGGCCCGGCAACGGTTGTATGCCTTCTCACGTTCCAGCCGATCGGTTTGTCCTCCGCCGCAGTCATCTCTTGTCGGCTCGAGTACGAGATTGTTGACTTTGCCCTACAGATGTCCTCATTCCGTCCGCAGACCCTGAGAACCGCCGTCCCATATGGCCAATCCAAGCCGACACTGCTTGGAACGCGCTCCTGGCGGCCTGCCACTGCGATCACCGGAGTGGCCGCCGCTCGCTTCAATTCCACCTCTTCGGCTCCTTCATCGACTACTCCCTCGGTCCCGGCGGCCAGTGAAGTCTCTCTCGCACCCCAAGGAGAAGTCAACCTCAATGATCTGACCGCGGCTGATATCAATGCGATTCCGGAGCAGATTGGATACTTGAAGCAATTGGGCTTGGATTTCGGTTGGGGTTTTTCGTCCATGATCGAATGGAGCGTTGAGCACTTCCACATCATGGGTGGTCTCCCCTGGTGGGGTGCGATTGTCGCAACCGGTCTCTTCATTCGTCTGGGTCTTCTGTACCCTACACTTATGGCCGCGGACACCAGTACTAAGCTCAACAACATCAAGCACCTCACCACGCCGCTTCGGACGGAGATGGTTCAGGCCAACTATAAGAATGACCTGATGGAGGCGACACGGAAGAGGGCGGAGTTGAGCCAGCTGCACAAGGATCACGGTATCAAGCCCTGGAAAGCAATGATCCCGATGATTCATATTCCCTTCGGTTTTGGTTGTTACCGTGTCGTCAACAACATGTGCAGTCTGCCGGTGCCCGGACTGACCACGGAACACGTTGGCTGGCTTCAGGACCTTACTGTTTCCGATCCCTACTACATTCTTCCTTTGATTGGATCAGTTATCCTACATCAGACTCTCAAGGTGCGGAAATTTGCCTTTTCTTTTCAAACGTCTAGCTAATGCAGTTGCTTGTAGAAAGGAGGAGAGACCGGTATGAACCAAATGAAAGACTCCGCTTTCAAGAACCTTTTCCTCTACGGCATGCCCACGATTTCGTTCCTGTTCATGGCCAATTTCCCTGGTGCCCTTCAGCTCTACTTCATGACCACCAGTGTGTTTGCTCTGGGGCAAACGTACTTGCTTAGCTCGTCCACTTTCCGGAGGATGGCTGGTATCACCATAGTGGATCCCAACGTCCCAAAGCCCGACGAACAGCAAAAAAACGATAACCATGGCCTCCGCTTGATCAACGAAGTACCTGACAAGGAGGCCGCCCAGAAGGCTGCTGAGGAGGCCGAACGCGAGAGGTTGAGTCTCATTGACCGTACCATCGGACAAGTCAAGGAGACTGGGTCGAAGCTCAAGGATGAGATGCAGAAGAAGGTTGAGGAGTACCGGGGCAGTGGTCCCACCAAGAACGCGGATGGAACTGTTTCCGCGGGCCCCCGACTCAGCGAGAAGGACCGCAAGCTGGCGGAGGACTACGAGAGACGGCGTGCTGAGGAGGAGGTGTGGAAGCGCGAGGAGCGGAACCATGCCCGTCGCGAGGCTCATCTGAGGGCCATGGAGCTGCAGCGCCAGAAGGCTGCGCAGGCGAGCCGGCAATAAGTGCATTGATATGACCAGGCGTGACGGGCTCCAGCGTGATGTTTTTTGTAATTATCTGTATTATATTGATGCTATCTCATTCTCATTCACCTCGGTTGTTTTATAGGAATAGACTAGGTCTGTTAACCATGGATTATCGATGCATATTTACCAAATGTGAAGATATTCACAATATCTTGTCGTCCCGTTCACTAACCATCCTGAGTCTATCACTCTTGCTTAGTCGGCGAATAGCTTCACTGGCCCTGCTCAGGTTTGCCTATAAAAGCCATCGCCCCGGCGCCAGCGTGGGCTTCTCCTTCCTCTTCCTTCATCCTCTCTCCACAAAACATAACACGTTTCTCACTCTCCAAAATACTTTGTGTGAATTGCTATATTCTCTCTATCATCACTCATTACATACGAACACATCTAAGCTACGGCAGGAGAAATCTTGACTAGCCTGATTGATCACATCCATCTCCAGATGCAAAGATCTAAGCTACATATGGCAGACTGCATACTTGCCATGTCTACCAACAAGCATCTATCTGGCGACCGGAAAGGGGCATGTCAAAAATCCCCAGTGTGCATCGTCAAAATATAAGGGCTGAGTATCCTGAGGCGTGAAGAATCAGGTCGCCGATGATACTTTGCTTGTTGGCCAGCTTCCCAAATCAAACTCAAAACGAACCTTCCGAACTATAAGACTAGCACCGCTTGAGAGTATCCCTTTAAGCTAGCTTGACGTCTCGAAGACTATCCACAGTCAAGTTCTATGCGGGAAAATCCGTATCCTGATCACCTACCAAAACCAAATATGGTACAGCACTTAGGGCAATAGATTCAACAACTATGCCCCCATCAGTGCGACCGGAAACACTGTCCAGTGTTGGGCCGCGAACATCCTTGAACCCGGTCGAAGACCTAGACAATATGTCGAATACGAATACAGAGACGACTTTCTCGTGAATGAAACAGTTCGCTCTACGATAAGAGACTTTGATTGTATCCTGTCCGAGCACAAAGCATAATAAATCGATCGGTGGTTCTAGGACACACCAATCAATAAAACAGATTCTTTTGGGGTTCACCATGGTCTGCCGACACTTTATAAGTGCTTTTAGAGCACTAGACATCTCTGGGCTGATGAAGAATGACCTAGTCTCATGCAGTTTGCAACTTGGGTGACCACGTGTACCAGGGTAGCAAAAGCAATTGCGGATACTCTAGAACAGCGGCGACAAAGACACAATTTCAAACCTACTCGCAAAATGCTTAAGCATCAAGAAGAAAGCCTAGGGGCAATAAACTTTGCAACGCCACAAGTGACGTCCAGTGCATTACAACGTTCTCAAAACCGTGGTCTACATATACGCTTCTTACGGCTTGTCGTTAACCGAAAGTGCCTGCGCAACATCTACATAAAGCTGGGCCGTTGACTAATTTCAGAGTTCTCTGAAGGATTCTCAGAATGGGTATCTGATGCAGCAATGCCATAACTGTCTCACTCGATGGCTAAAGAGTAGGAAATAGCTGATAGGGCAGTCAGACTTTGCGCAACAATACTGCGAGCACAACATGATGATACAGCTCCTTTTGTTCTAGCACCGCATTAATAGCGATCTCCGCGGCTTTACTGTACAGTTGGGGTTGTGGGACTCGGAATATAGGCTCTCAATCACTGCCCGCCCCTGACCAGCAGGCTTGTCCTAAGCTGCAGCCTTGATGCATTCTAATCAGCAGCTAAGTTCCAACCTGGGCTACTCGAGGGGATCACCCCAGATAGTAAAGCTTCAAGCGAGGATTGGCTGCGTCTATGGGTTATATATTCTTCACTCGACGTACCATTGTACACACTCCAGTGTCAGGAGCGGGATTTGACCTAGTCTGATCCGTACCTCACTCGCAGAAGCATCAAAGCCACCTTCCATACAGGTTTCTGACTTGGAAGACCTCAAGAACTGTGTCATCGACCCAAGGCAAACTTATAAGGGCCTATGAAAGGCCGAGGTAGTAAGGCATATCCAGAGCAGAACGCCATATGGCCCCCGGTTCTATCTCTATCTTTAAGGCTTCGGAAACTACTCATCAGCATCAAATCATACTGGTTCATCGTTTAGCGCTCCAGAGGGCCCAGATATGAGATGTCATTGGCACCATTCTCACAGATATCTTAGTCACCTGATAGGCTTCTGCTGTCCATTAAACAGCGAGACGGAACTGGTTCTACATATACGACTGGGACAAGATGGAGCTAGTACTTGCACTTCTTGTCTACATTCCCTCCACACTGGTGGCGATATCAGCCACAGTCCAACATTAACATGTGTTCAGAAAATGATGGCTATCGATAATAATCTGGTCAGAGCCAGTTGTCCTCTCTCTAAAACAGCTATTTCAATACTGAACAAGTGTTGATAAGATACCCTAGAAGTATCTGGATCTAACCACTCCCAATGCAAAAAAATCATAGTCAGACCCAGGGACCTTTTTCTAAAGGGTCTTGCCCGATGTGCGCTCAAATCTGTGTGTATATATCAAGTGCCAGCTCTGGAATATCGGCTATAAGTTCAACATCTCGAGAGGACAGACCATAGCCACAATAAACCGATGTTCAAATGCACGTTTGCACAGGTCGGCACGATGAGGGAGGTCCGTGATCTCAGGGCGAGTAGCACGCCCAATCGTCCGGCATTGGCCATATTAGAAAAAGAAAAGCGCGGCATCTTACTATTTTCATCTAGACATGGCCCATGAACATGTACCATTATCTTGTCCTCCTATACTACAATAAACCCACAGTCTAAAGGTCCTGCTTAGATGCAACATCCTACGAGAACTACCAAGCAGGCACGATCTAGCTATCTCAGCCAACATACGTGAAGGAATGCTCAATACAACCAACCTCAGATCCTACTCCACATCCGCGATAGCGATGGTGATTGCCCTACAAAAGTCAGATCGCTCGGATATGACCACTGAACGTGTTGAAC